GCTCAAGGCACAATGTCCAAGTTCTGATAGAATACGGCCATCCTTCGAGTTCGTCAGTCAGCCAGGAGATGAAAAGTCACCGACGCTGTTTTGTAGAAACACCAGGAGACCACCAAGCCAATCTGTAGAATCCAGTGATCGAAATCCAAATATATATCCAGAACAGAACAGAACAGAGGTCCCACCTTAGACATTTCCTCCCATGGAAGAAAACTTTGTTCCAAAAATTTATTAAGAGACCTGCTAACCAAATCCATAAAAATAAAAATATCCATAATTTCTGGTTTTGGATGAAAACTAAGAGAAGTCTCTGAGCAGCAAAGCAGAGGAAATAAGGAAGGGCTGGAGAGAGGTGGAATGGAATATAATCCCTTTTACCTAATTCAGAATGCATTTAGTTAGGTGATTCGATAAAAAGTCTTAGACAGGAGGCATCATAGACCAAGATGTTCACAAACATCACGTTGATCTGCAGTGAGCACAGGTGGAAGAGAGTCTGGAGAGGTGGACGTATGCTTCAGGGAAGAAGAATGAAAAGTCAGTAGACTCAAGACAGAACACGTGCAAATTAGAGGAAGACGGGTAAAACTAAAGCTACGAGGGTTACAGTCACTGAAGGTGAATGAGTTTACCTGAGCAGCAGGAAAGAGAAGCAGACTCTCCCATCACAAAAGAGATGAGAGAGCATGAAGGCAGAGTGGAGGTGATGAAGTTCAGTGTCAGAGGTGATTTGTGACAGAAAGGTAGCTGCTAAGGGATTGTTTCAAAGATGGTAAAAAGATCTATGATAATGTACAGCTGGAGACAGTGGCAGTAACCAAAAGATTGGAGTCACTTACCATTAAAAATGAGAGCATCAGAGAGTTTCTACAAACAACCATCTTTAGAGTTTAGAGGGAATAGTCTGAAAAAGAGAAAGTATCCAGCAGACTGGTTGGAGATGGTAGAAAAACYGCAGTAACTGAAAAACCACTCGTCAAAACTGAGGCCTGCAGAAAAACAGTAAACTAAAACTAAAGTTCACACATGCTCACCAGAACTAGACAATAAGAGATGAGAAACATAATTMTCTGGTCTGATTGTTCTAGATTCACGGAACTCCACACAATCACTACAACTAAACTAATCCAGGCCTTCAGGATGAGGTGGAACAGCTGATCATGGACGTGCAGCTGGTGAATGTGCCTCAAATGTATGATGTCATKCAGACCAGAATCTCTGAGGTGAATCTCCAACACATTATGGAATCTGTGCCAGGAAAAGTTAAGACAGTTCTGAAGAGGGGTCCAACTCTCACAGTGTACTTAATAAAGTGACCGGTGAGAGGATATTGAAAGAATACGGAAATGGAAGCCGACAGAATGGAGGAAAAAAGGAAGTCCACAGAGAATGTTCAAGGATGTAATGAATAGAGTTGGGAGATATTGGAAAAAACCATAATCACTATTATTTATGGCATTTAGTTAACAATTAATATTAACATGTCATATTATTAGATGACAATTGCACTTGCATGATTTTGACTAAATCACCCTATGTTCTAAAGTTATATCTAAATCAYTCAATCCAGTTTCTTCATTTTAACAACTACAGCCCATGTTCTCTCCTTCCAGAGCTTGATTTGCAACATGCAGTCGACATTCTGGCCTTGAACTGCATCTGGCTATTCTCATACTTTGTTGTAAAGTTACAGTGTGTTTTCTTCACTTTGCTGTTGCACACCTTGCAAATGACCCAGTTCTGCTCAAGGTCAGACCTAACAAAGCAAATACGTTCCTTACAACAGAAGTTGTGTGTCTAGAAAATAATTGCTCTGTATTTTCCCTATAAGCACAGAAATGCTTTTCAAGGCACCCTGGGGAGCAGCTCTGTGGATTGAGTGCACATGGGCCCACAGTGGGGCAAATGAGGGTTGCCCGCCCACATTTTTTGAAAATCGGTCTTGTGAGTTGAACAAGTGACCTTCCAAGGCTCACCTTCTGTAATCTCTGCACCACTACTGCACAAAGTGACACAGAGGAATCAGAGAAAGGTTTTCTGACAATGATCAGATGTGATTTTGCACAATCCTAATAGTGAAAGCAGACAGAGGAGGGTAGCGATGGGACGATCAGACGTGGTGACCTCTAGAGGAAGCAGATGAAATAAAAGAATAAAAAAAGCTATTTATATTCTGATCACAAAGATTCATATTATGCTGTAGTTTAAACAAACTATAAAACAAATAATAATAAACCAGTACTGTTTGATGGGTCATGCAGGCTGCAGTCTGATCGTTTGTGGGACCAACAGAATAAACACTTAAATATTTTGGAAAGCTATGATAAATTAGAGATGGGTGCACGTAGAGGCAAACTGTCACATGCCTGAAAATGTGTTGATGTAGGTGAAGAGTCACAGTCACCAACATGATGCATTAGATCAGGGGTGGGCAATCCTGGTCCTCGAGGGCCGCAGCCCTACAGGTTTTATGTTTTTCCCTGCTCCAACACACCTGATTCAGACACTGAATTACCTCGTCCAAGTTCTGCAGTATGGAGGACAGACACTGACATAACTAGATAAATATATGAATGGACCAATAAATAAACTCAATTAAAAATATGCCAGTTAAATTAAAAAAGGAGAGCTTTATCTCGTTTTATAATTTAATTGACCTTCATATTTTTTTCCAACTTAGTTCCAACTAATAATAAATTTTTGCACATAATTTAC